TTCTAAGGTAATCCTAAGGCTGAAAAGAAAAGGAGAGGGCACCCAATATTATGTAGGGCTGAGATTTGGGCGCCCAAAATTGGAAAGTTGAGATTTAGGTGCCTAGGGCTGAAAGGTGGAGATTAAAAGGAGTGAGTGGCACCCTAGGGTGAATGGCTGAGATAGAGAGTGAAATAGAGGGCTAAGAGCTATTGGCTAAAGGTTAAATGGTGAGGATTAGAAGTTAGGTGGTGCCCTAGGGTTGGAATGCACTCAAAAGAGGGTACCCTGGAATAGAGGGTTAAGATTAAAGGTTATGAAGGGATGGAAGGTGAGGATTTAGTAGTTAGGGGTGGCTAGGGTTTGTTAGAGATGAAAAGAATGAATGGAGAGGTGCCCTAGAGTTTGCTAGGGATAGGGGAGTATGCTAATATAGTAGAAGGGGCACCATTCTGGGTTTAGCAGATATGAGACGCCCTCCTGTGCTCAGTTTTTCACAAAAACACCCCCTCTCTCAATTGGAATTCACACCAGCTTCCCAAAAACTGCATTTTAACCTTGAAACTTCCCCAGTTTTCCCAGGATTTACACGGAGACCCTCAGAGGTCACAATCTTGAATTTAACTGAGAAAAGGGGACATTTTGACTATTCTAAAGCCCTAAAATACCCCTAAAATGATGCCCTTAAGGCATCAAACTACAGAGTTATCACTTCCTTGTGGGTTCAACCCCTTCCTCACCACGTACTACATTGTTTAAGGTTATGTGAGGATTGGAAAAATTTACAAATCTCTAAACTGGTACCATGGGTGTTTGACAATGCATCCTGGGCGCACCGTCTCCCAAGAAACCCTATCATGTCCTAGGTTTTCAAGGATTGATAGTGATCAGTTTTCTTCTATTTTTTGCAAGAAAAATCAGAGGAAATTTAGGCTCACCTTCCTCAGTTCAATCCAAGCAGTTGAGTTGCAGTTTTGTTGAAAACCATGTTAACGAATCAACTTCACCTATACACTGCATCATCTTCAATAGAAGTTGATTTTAGGATGGATTTGGGTGTGAATTTCCACCCTGGGATCTATGTTTGTGGTATCCGTATCAGGTATAAATCTCTCTCTTTGTTTGGTTATAAATCTGATCTGGTTCAGTGCAAGACCGATCTTGAAAAATGTAGTTTTTCTAAACATAGGGAATTCGATTCCCAGAAGGATTAGGAAATTTTTAAAATTTCACCCAGCCATCTAGCATGGTTCATCCATCCATATGATGGATCCTAACTTCCAACATTTGTAAGATAGTACAAGCCAAACTGTCGATACCAATAAAAACAAGGAATTCAACCAATATTTCATTAAAACATAAAATCACTAGGATCATTTTTGTGTGATATTTATAACTCCATGACTCAGAATACAGTAGTTAACTCCTTCACTTTCAGCGCTCTAATTGTGAAGACACGTTGTAAGATAAGTAGAGGAAGTCACAAGCTATACTTATTGATAAGAATTCTCTTATTAATAAGTAGGGGGCTAATTGTATGTATATGTAGTTTACTATAATTGGAATTTATGATATCAACAAAAAATAAGAATTGCATGAAGAAATCCTAGTAGTGATGAATGCAATTGTCAAAATAAGCAAAACAATGTATCAAAATGAGGAGTAAACCTTTGTAATAGCATGATAGCATTCTATTCTATGGAGGCAATGTAGGTCACACACACCTACGATGAACATAAAACATCATCCAAGGCTTGTGATAAGCATAAAGGATCATCAAGGGCATGCGGTGAGCATAAAATATCATTCCTGGCCTACGATGAACACAAGGTATCATTTTACAACCTATGACGAGCATACAAACTCTCCTCCGCAATTGATGAACATTTCTGATGATCACAACAAATTTCAATGGGGCATTTCAAGGACAATGTTTAAGCTATCTAAACACGTCAACCATTTAGGGATCTTACTCCTGACATGTGGCCACAGGAAAACTCACGAAGGGACATAGCCAACATGTGCTATGCAAGAACTTGGAGAAAAGGAAATCTTGTTCTTGAAGCATCTATCTAGACACATGACGAAACCCCAATGGAGTTTACTTGGCGATAGATAAAAGAGTTAAGATTCACTTCCTTAATGAGAAAAGTCTTCTTTTGGAAAATTCTCTTTATAGCCTTGAGATCACCTCTATAAAAAGTAGGAGACAAATCACGGGGGACGACACTAGAACCCCAAGATCTTCTTACCAAAATTCCTTGGCATTTCCTTCGGAAAACTAAGTCCACCCTCAATACTCTAATCCCAATTTTGAACTTGCACCATCTTCGTCTTTCATATATGGAAGATAACATTAGCGGATAACATAGAAAATCCATTAACTAAGCCACTCACACAATAAGTGTTTAAGAAACATGTGAATAGTATGGGACTATGGATTGTACTTGATTGGACCTGAGTTTAACTAGAAGCAGTTAGGTAATGTATGCCCTAGACAATCTACATTCAATTGGAGACTTGAAGTGCACATCGAATTTCACAATTGACTAGGATTGATCTCTCTAGTCTTGGACTATGCCATCTTTAGCTTGGAAATCAATTTTCGTTGAACGCTTGGGTGTATTACACCACTTTAGGAGTTGTGTTTCATTGAAAGGGTTATTGTGAGCATAAAAAAATGGCTCACTTGGGCTGGGAATGGAGTCGCCACCCATCAATTAAGGAATGGAGGTGATGGGACCTCCGAGATATACATTAGAAAGCATTTTGTTTCAATAGTGACTCCAACGCACAGGCACTAACCACTCATCTCCCGAGTCCAATAGGTTGGGTCCACATGGTATCTCAAACAGAGTAAGCATCAACATAAAAAAACAATTAATAAGGTGAAAGAAAGGTAAAGAAAGTAAATCACAAGAACAAGCCAAAAGCAAAATATTTCCTATTTTTATTCATTTTATTTGTATTTTCTATTTTATTCTTTTTGTATTTTCTAATTTTTTTACTGTTATTTCCTTTTTTATCAATTATTTATTTATTTATTTTTAGCTACAAACTCATGAAGCCCTATTTATATATTTAGTCACTAATTATCCATCAACCTACTCCCTCCCTTCTAACTCTCCCGACCTACTAATATTTCCTAACTACTAACCTAGAAAAAAATCAGTCCCATCAACAAAGATTTTTTTATTATCATTACTTTTTTCATTATCTCTTTTATTGTTTTTTATTTATTATATATATTTTTATTTCAATCCCCACTACTGTAACCGAACTCCTTTCTCTTCCTTCTTGAATCACCTCTTATCCACTATCACTCTCTTGGAAATAATCCCTCTTTTCCCCTTTCTTTCTTATCATACATAACCCTTCCACCAGTAACATTCATTTATTTGGATTCCCCCTTATCTGTGACATACATGTCAAATGACTTAATTCAAGCTACTTTTATCAACAAAACAAAGCAAATAATTACTTAACCAAAATGAAAAAACATAATCCAAACTTATCAACAATTATCCATTAATATAACAAATGAAATAGCAATCTAATATTGACCATGACGACAATCTAGAAATGTTAATCACCTGGGAATAAAATCAATCAAGCAAAAAGGAAATTGATAGGAAAGAAGGAAGGAGAAGGTTAGCATTGGGTTCTTTATCAAGGCTGGTTCAGAGGAAGCCTCTTCACCAGTTTTGCCTACTAAATCCCAGTCAGATGTTGGTTATTCCATGATAAGCATAAGAAAAAAAGATAAATGAAGGTAACACTTACCTGGTTGGGGATTTCGACCTGTAATCAATTGACGAAATAGGGGAATCAAGAACCATATCGCCTTACTCACTCTTCGAATCTTCTATAATTATCGATGGGTATGAGTAGAAGCTTGTGATGACTCAGAAACAATCGATCATTTTGGGGATTTAGTCTGGTATTGAGAGGAGATAGATCTGAAGGATTGTGAGATCCATCATATGGATAGCCGAACCATGCTAGATGGTTGGACGAAATTTCAAAAATTTATTTCTCACTTCCGAGAATCACATTCCCTACTTTCAGAAAAACTGTATTTTTCTATGATCGTTCTTGCACCGAAACAGACCCAATGGGAATTCAACATGTGTGCTACGCTCAAGAATAAGTTATACACTGTTGTTTTGAGAGGAAGGATACCAAAAACAACAGGCTCACATTAATTGGAATTTGGAAGGTGATAGATGCACAAAATTTTTTCATCTCACTGCCTTTAACTTGGTGAAGACGAAATGGCAGTCATTGTTTAGGGAAAGCTGATGGCACCTGGACATCAAACGAGTTTGAAATCTCGAACATCCTAGTAGATTATTATCAAGATCTTTTTACCTCTTCAAACCCGAAATTTCACAATTCCTGATCTTGTCTATAATGTTTCAGAGGAGAATATAGTATTAATGCGCACTCCAGATGAATCAGAGTGCGCATTGTGAAAGGTAACATTATACCATGGGTACATAGAATTTTTCAGAGCCCCCTGCAATTAGAAAGGTAAATGCTACATTCATTTGTTAGATTTCCAAAATGGAGGTGGCAGAGGGACATAAAGACTCTCTGCCCATTGGTTTAAGCAATGTTTTATATAAAATCATTACTATAATAATTACTAATAGATTGGAGTCAATCTTGCCAATGTTGATCTCCCCATTTCAAAATGCTTTCACTCCACGGAGAAACATCACAGATAACACAATTATCACAACGGAAGGTCCTGCATTCCATGAAAGTGCTAAAAAATGTTGTATTTCTTATATGAACTTTCAAAATGTCCTGTCTTTGTACTTTATTCATGGTTAGTTATTAGACCATAGATTTAGAGTTATGTATCTATGGGATTTAAAGAGTTTTTTTAGTGTTTCAATGTGTACCACACTTTGCAAGGCCAATACTTTGAACCTTGCATTTGTGCATCTACAGCACAAGCACAGATAGAAAAAGAAAATTCAGAAAATTCCGAACCCTGAACCGGGATAGAAAAATGTTTTAAATCCTCAAACTGAGATATGAGGTGTTCCTTAATTCCTCATTTATGAGGTCACTAATTATTATGCACAACAGCATTTGTCTCATTGGAAGCTCAACTATTCCATTACGTTTCCAACTCTATCGCTACTGCACAAATTGTTCTGGAATTTTCTTTGTAACACAAACAAAATGGAGAAAATAACACAAACAAAATGCAGAAAATAGAAAATAAAGCTTTGGGGAGTGGTAATGAAAGGGAAGTAAGAAAACAGAAAATTTATACATTTCTCCATGCTGGATCAGATTGCTGATGGAATGGGGAGGTGCGATCAAGTTGTAGCATTCTCCAAAAGTTGCTAGACGTGTAACGCCATGAATAAGTTCTGCTTTCTTGCATGCGCTGGAATAAGTTTTCCAAGAATCTCTGGGGGAATGCCTGAGAGCTCTGTTCAAAAGATAAAATAAATTAATGAAAAAAAGCATCCGCCACAAAAAATGAATAATATCAAAACTTGTCGTTGAGTACCATATGGTGGGTATTTTGTATGTTTGACAGTTTTTGCAAAAATAATAGTGAAGGGCTAAGGGACCTATTCTTTTTATTCTTCCCCTTATGTTCCTGCAGACTGGGTGAACAAAAGAACCACCTGATATCAACAGGCATGTAGTGAGCCTGCTAGGTCTGAAAAGCACAACCTAAGGTCTGTTAGAGCAAGAATTTCAGATCTTTATTATGCATATATTATTGATGTTTGAGTCAATAATATTTTCTAAAATTTCTAGAGAAAAAGTACAGGAAAAAAACTTGAGAAATTTCTAAAATTCTCTCTTTTTCCCCTCTTCTCTCCTTTCTTCATTTCTCTATCTTCTGTTTTTCTCTCTCTGTTCTGGTTTATGACCGATTGCAGGTTATTTGATATGGCATCAGAGACAATCCAGTAACCTGCAATTCGATTTTCTTCTTGATATCCACAATTACAGAGTCGAGAATGCAATTCTGAGAGAGAATCAGAGATGCTCCAGCTTGAAGGGGAGTGTTAGAATCATTAGAATTAGTTGACAAGGACATTCTTGTCTTTTCCTTATTATTTTTCTCTCTTATATCTGTTGTAACTTATCTAAGGGCATTGTTGTCATTTCAGCTTTAGTTAAACGTTAGTACAAACTGGGTCGACAGTAAGGAGAGTTGAGTGAGATTTCTCCTTGCTTGTCTTCCCTCTTTTCTTCTCTTTCTCTCCCTACCTTCTTTTTCTCTTTCTCTTCCACACTACTTTTCTTTATTGAAGTTGGAACAGTCTGTAAGCTGAAGAAGTCACTTTATGGCATTAAATAGTCACCAAGAGCATGGTTTAAGATGTTCAAGGCAGCTCTTGTTTGCTTTGGTTATATCCATATCACACTCTCTTTATAAAGAGGAGAGCTACTTTGGCTATATTTTTTATTGTTTATGTAGATGATAGTTGTAATTGCTAGTGATGATGTGTAGGAGGTGGAAAGTCTTAGGAGATTTCTCAATACTGAAATTGAGATTAAGAACTCAAGGGAACTAAGGAACTTCTGGGGATGAGGTTGCTCAGTCCAAAGATGGCATCTTCATATCATGGAGAATACCTTTTTGGACCCACTTTCGAATGATTCTAGGATCTGGGACCTGGGCTTTAGAAGAGGTTTAAGAGAGAGTGTGCATCTTTGATTAACCTTCTTAATATCCTAGAGAATACTTTTTTGGGTCCATTTTCGGATGACCCTAGAATCTGGGTTCCCTCACCAGATGGACTTTTCACTTGTGCCTCTTTTTTCAAATCCCCAACTTCAACTACTTCACAAGGGGTGAACTTCCTTGTGAAAGAAGTCTGGTCAAAGCCTATCCCACCTAAGGTTCAAGCTTTCTGCTGGAAATCTTTCCTTGAAAAGGTTAACACTTGTGATGTGCTGCAACAAAGACAGCATGGTAATGGACTGGAAACCCCAAAAGGTAGTAAAGTTAAACTGAAATTTGATGGAATCTCGATGGCGATCCTGGCATGGCAGGAATTGGTGGGGCAATTAGAAATTCGAAGGGCAGATTGCTGGCCCTTTATTATGGGTCAATTGGTGTGGCCAACTCCATTAAAGTTGAATTATTGGCTCTACTACAAGCCTACAAGGTCTCAGAATTGTTAAGCAGTTGGGCCTCAGACAAGTGGAGGAGGAAGGGGACGCCAAAGTTATCATCTCTTGGGAAAAAAATAACAGACATATTCCCTGGACTCTCAAGAATGCTTTCAAGGAAATAGAAAGGGCTGCAAGAGAGCTGAATGCTGAATTCAAGTGGGTTAGAAGAAGCGCAAATGGGCTAGCTGACTCCCTTGCTAAACAAGGGGTAGATAGACAGCAATGCTTTTTCACTTATTTTAATTTAATATATCATAAATTTCGTCAATCAAAAATATATATACTAATTGTAATATATATATATATGTATATTTATTATATAAATATATTCAAATTTATTCAAAATTATAAATCAAGCCAAGCTCGCATGCTTTCGAGTAGAACTTTTTATTTGTTGAACTCGAATTGAGCCTAATTGTTTCTCGATTTGTGTGTCATCCTTACGCAGGGGCCATGCTAATCTTCTTTGTATCATTCCAATTTTATCGGATGTCTCCAAAGAGACAAATTGAGTCAAGCCTAATTGAACTTGAACTCAAACTATTTGATTAAAGTTCAATTTGATTGCACCTCTGGCTGCTACACCCATTGATTTGAATCATAAACTATCTACTTCTGATGGGGAATTGTTGGATGACAGGGGAGTGTTTTAGAGGTTACTTGGAAAGTTGTTATCTCTGAGTGACTCACCCTAATAATTCCTATGTGGTTAGTGTTATCAATCAATTCATGTGCTCCTGGGGATACACATATGGCTACAACAAAGAGGATTTTGTTCTATTTGAAGGGTACACTAGGAAAGGGTATTTTGTTTGCAAAACATGGCCACATGAAATGGGAAGCCTATATAGATGATAGGCACTCCACATCTAAATATTGCACTGTGGTAGGAGGAAATTTGGTTTCTTAGAGAAGCAAGAAACAGTCAATAGTTGCTAGAGGTCTTCAGCTAAGTAGATGTTAGGGCTATATCCCATGGTATGCTAGAATTATTATGGTTGCGGTCTCTAATGGATGAAATGGGCATTGGTTATGATCAATAATATTGTATTGTGATAATCCAGCTGCCATTAATATTGCACATAACCCTATGCAGTATGATCGAACAAAACATATTGAGGTGGATAGATATTTCATCAGGGAGAGAGTGGCATCTGGAGAAGTGTGTTGACCTTCCATTGCTTCTGAAGAGAAATTAGCCAACATACTTACTAAGGAGCTCCCAAGTCTAAGTTGCAATAATATATAAGCAAGTTGGGCATGATTGTAATCTATGCTCAGCTTGAGGGGGAGTGTAGCAATATTGGGCCAGATAGGCCATAATTTATCTTATGCTATGGACCTATTAGCACCTTTTATTGTCTATTTAAGTATCCGCCCCCTTAAGGGCACTCTTGTAAATGTACCAAAATTTCTAATTAGTGCTAATAAAAGCTAATTAGGGGATGTGATGAGATTACTTGAATTTCTCATCTCCTTATCCCTTTCTCCCATTCTTTTTCTCCTCTTCTCTACTCTTGGTTTGATTTCTATTTATTTGCGTTCTTTCTTTTTCTTGATTATTTCAGATTATACTATTGCTGTTTTTCCTCTCATAACACTGACATCCAGCACTGTTCACGCATTATTGAACTTATTGTTGTTGCTCACCTTTCTGATTCAATCAAGAAATGTTGGAAGTTCTACATATTTTTTCCATATCCAACAACAACAGAGTATTATTCACCGGCTCTTGTCCTTCCAGAGAATACTGGTGACTAAATTTTGCCAATACTAGATTGTTGTTTTGAGGAGTTTTATTGCATTAATAGCCTTGCAATTTTCTTATATATCAATTGTTTTATTCTTCCAAATAGAAAATAGTTTATTATGAGTAAGTGAATCTACTTTTTAAAGTAATTAAAAGTTTATCTTTTCTTCTTAAAGTATGCATTCCCGACCTCATTTCTTTATCTGACCATGTCCTCCATGCACCCTATCATAATCCTATTCTTTTTTTACATCATATTTTCACCCCTCATATTGGTTATACGTTGTCAGCACATTGTTTAACTAATAAACAATAGTTGAAGTTTGTTTCCAGTGACTTTTTTCCCTTTACCTATCTACTTTGCTTTTAACCTCCTTTACCTTTCGTAAATTCTAAATCTAGAGTTTGGAAGGTAAGTTTTAATGGAGATCTTTTATTTTAAATATGTCAAAAGTCCCCTGATATGTTTAAATGTGTTAATGTAATTAAGATTTTGTCTTCTGTAAATGTGTGGAACTCTAATTCATTTGAGTAAACCAGAGCAAGTTACGTTGTGGCTACCTATTTACCCAGATACAGCAAGGACACACCTGAAGATGGTGTTGGATATGGAACTTACACAAGAAAGTTTAGTATCCAAGACGAGATGACACCCTTGTACAAAGAGTATCATAGGTGACTATATCTTAGTTTCCTTGACTACTAATACATTAGCATATTCTCCAACCACATTTCTTAAACTTTTGAAGGTGTATAACACTTCCTATTTCTTCTTGTGCTTTCTATTCACACATAAGGATAATGCTACTATTGCCCTTTATGACAATTGACCATATTCCTACCAACAGACTAGAAAATAAATTTCAGAAATCTCAGAATACCAAAAATTCAAATTACCGAAGATTATGAAATTGCCACATGGTAAGGAAATGGGAAAAATAGCATATTTCTCGAAGGATTTTCCATGCTTTCCATGTCTACACCACTTCAAATCATCCTTCTTAGACACTAGTGCTCCAACAACAGGCATAAATTTCACTTACAGAAGAATCATAAGCATCAAAAGTTTCCTTACCCTGTGGTTTGAAATTGAAGAGTGGAGGGAGAGGGCGACCATTAGGAAGGCGAGTATTTGGATCTCTTAATTCATCAAAGAAGGGATGAATGCAAGCTTCCAACTGCCATATTGTCACAGGTAAAAGATTAATAAAACTTCAACACATAAACAATTGACTCCAAATGATAGGATCAAACATGCCAGGAAAATTATATTTAAGTTAAACTTACAGCTGTACATCGTAGATTAGGAGAGTACTGCAGGAACCTGGAGACAAGGTCAACTGCTTCTGGGGGTAAAAGTTTCTGAAAAACCTGATGAAGAAAAATAGAGTAACAAAAGGTCTCACTCCACAGAATATCTCCAACCATAGAAAATATAAATGGATGCATAAATGACAAATATAGACATGCATATTGACAAAATAGGCAGAAGGGAAATAGCAGTTTAGATTCAAACACTGAAAGTGCATAGATCCCCAAAATGTATACTATCACAATGTGTAAAAACATTTAATAAAGATAGAGAGGCAAAGCATCTCCCAATAAACTGGATTCCCACACCATGATATCTGGATACATGTGTCATATCCCTAATATGGTCATTTGGTTCCATGAAAACAGAACTTTGGGCCTGGACATCAGGGATGTTTAGTAAATCCCTCAAGAATAACATACCAGAGGCAGTGATAAATTCCTGGTGGTTGGATTTCTATTGGATGGATGTTGGGCAAGGTATCTCCATATTCATAAAGCTAAGAGAAACAATTTAGGATACAATTTTAAAAATCCAAATAGGAAACCTAACATCAAGTCCAGATAGACATCTATGCTCAGCTTGAAGGGGAGTTTTGTGTAGCCTAGCATTATGGGCTTGGACCCATTTATGTTATGTTATGTTAGTTATCTTTGTTTCTTTCTTACTACGCTTAATGGGCCTGGGTTTATTTTGTTTTCATTAAGTTTCTTCCTACATACTAATTAGAGACAGATTGGTCATTGCATTTCTTCCTTAATGCCCTAATATAAAAAAAATGTTGGGGGCTGTTGTAGGGTGTGCCACCCATTTCATTCAAACTCTTATTCTCTTATCTTCTTCCTTCAAGGCTGAATGTAACAAGATTCAGTGTTATTAATAAATTTATGTGATTTGTATGCATTTCCCTAGCACATCCAAGCATTTCCATGCCAATTGTCCGTATCCATACATTTCCAAATGTATCCGTATCCAAACTATCCCATATGATACCCAATACTGAAACTTTAATCCTTGAATACAACTAGTAAGTGCGCTGTTGTACTGGTGGATTTTTTGCCTTTCAACCTAAAGAATAAAAATCTAGCTTCAGATCATCTTACTTGTAGTTTTATCAACATTTTGAACTTGTAGTTGAACCACTCACTTGGATTGATTAACCACTTATTTGCAAAAAAAAAAAATAAAAATAATCAGCTTTGTCAACAACCAAATGACCATTCTGGTTGAACTGCTAACCTATGTAACCAGGTCAATGGACCATGGATAAGACTTTATTCTCCTTTTTTGCTTTTTGGTATTCTTAGCCGTTTCCATCATTAACAACAAAAATTCTCAGTTTTCACACATTTTTGTTTAATATGACAAATATGTAATATTGAAGACACATTCAATTTTTTTTATTATTTAATTTATCACATCACAAGTTAACTTGTTTGATTGAAAGGGAAATGAAGTTCCAATTGATTTTTAGAATATTGGTTTTCTATTAGTGTCTTATATCCCATGGTCAAATCAACTATTAAAACCAGTCAACCCATCAACCAAGATTGTGGGTCTATTTACCATGAAACTACTTGCCTATAAAAAATTATTTACTTGGTCAACAACATGTTGACTTAGCTAATTGAGCCATTGAATTGTTGACCCAATCAATGGGGTCACAAGTTAGACATGAATTCTCTTTTTCTTCTGATGGAGAATTCCGTTTTCATCATCACTAATAAAAATAATTCTTATATATTACACTTGTTTTTTTAATATGATGAATATATAATATTGGAGATGTATCTAAATTTCTTTACAAATTTTCTACATTTTTATACCTTTATATTTTAGTCTATTATTAAATTTTTATATTTAATTATGACATCATGGGTTGACCCATTTGACCCAAAAGGTTCAACCCTTGACCAGCCACCTAGACAAAAAAACAATTTTGTTTTTCAATTGGTTTTAATTTTTTTATATCATTTACATCATTAATAAAATTAATTTTTGTTTAATATGATTAATATATAATATAAGCGGTGTGCCCAAATTTTTCTATAAGTTTTTGTAATTCCATAGTCCTCCATAACCTAACCTTCATTTTTTTGCCTATGCTTACCTAAAATTTGCACTAGTTCCTGCTCATTCTTTTAAAGCCTTCACAAGATACACTTATAAAGGCTCTTTTTGTACATGATCTTAAGGGTTGCTTGCCCTCCTTTTCATGATCGTAATACAATTATACTTATCAAAAAAAATCTATAGTAGAAATAACTCCAAGTTAGATTTTCTTCACACTAATTCCCATAATTAAATTTTGGGATTTGAACCCAAAAGCAGCAAGTTAACTCGTTTTGCCCTGACACCCATGTAAAATAGCTAGTTCTTTGGAAATTAGAAAGAACTAGAATTAAATTATATTAGAATTATGAATTAATGTGCTATGCATTGATGAAAATTATGAGCATACCTTATGCCATGGATGAGCCTTAATCTGTGGGAACTTAAATTCTGTATAGTTTGGATTCATGCATTTGATCTCCTCCCTGGTAGGTGTACCTAAAACCTGCATAAAAGTTATTAAACACATAATAAGTTCAAAATTTAGAACCATGAAACCCATTTAGGGGCCATTTGATAACAGCTGAACTGGCTGAACTGAATTGTTTATTGTTTTGTCTTTTTTTGGATAAATAATTAAATAACAAAACATTTAAGGGTATAGTAAGCAATCCAGTTCAGTTTCAGCTATTAAAGAGGTTACAACCTCCTTAACAACTTACTAAAAGACAAAGAAAAAGGTAAATTCAATTCAGCCAATTCAGCTATCATCAAACACCCCCTAAGATGTCATGGTTGGTAAATAATATCACCTTGATGATTTCAACTAGTTGATCGACTCCACTTTCACCAGGAAACAAAGGCTGCTTTAAACAAAGGATGCATTAAACAGGACACTAAATATGAAGTCAAAATTTTCGAGGGTAAAAGACTACCTGCCCAAGGAGTAGTTCTGCCATCACACAACCTGTAGACCACATATCTATTGCAGTTGTGTATTCAGTAGCACCAAAAATGAGCTCAGGGGCACGATAATATCTTGAACAAATGTAAGAAATATTAGGTTCTCCTTTCACCTAGGTAAAAATTAAGACAGAATCAACCTCAGCCAAGTAAAATGTCAAAATTAATGGCTTGTAAAACATTGGATACGAAAGCTTACTAATACTTTCGCACTCCCAAAATCACATAATTTCAGCAGATGTGTATGTGGGTTCACCTGAATGTGTTTAATAAGTCAAGTGGCATCCAAAAATAGAGCAAAAAGACCATTCATGTAAGAAACATAATATATTCCAATTTGGGATAAACCTGCTATGCTTAAAGGAGTAGAGAAATAAAAAGAACCCAAATTCATGAAACAAATGTAACTTCAGGAGTAGAAATCTTGTCATGTGCTTCAGAACACAAGTGACATCCAGAAATCAACTGAAAAAACCATCTATGTAAGAATTCTAATAAATTCTAATAAAGTGGGATTAACCAGCTAAGTTTAAGCAGTAGAACAGTAAAAAACACTCAAATGCAAAAAAAAAAAAAAAACAGATTAAACCCCAGGAGCAGAAATCCTCTAAAGGGACCATAATTGTAGGTTTAGCTACTATCTTATTTCTCTCTTTATCCATCGTAGGTGGGATCTTCCTTAGTTCTTTTTTTGGTTCTCTTGCTTTTTTATTTCTTTTCATTTTCTTTTAGTTGGCAAGGGGATATAATGTATTTAGGATCCTGTGTTGGATTGAAGTCTTTGTATGTATGAGTATTCGGCTGATAAGAGTTCTTATTAGCCTATACTTGAGTTTAAGTTGTCCTGTACTGAGCCTTTGTTAATGGGCCTAATCCTGTTTAATGTTTTAAGTTGTCTGGGTGTCCCATCACTA